TATACAACTTACTTACAAAATATGTTTATGATTTTTTATGTTTAAATAAGTATATCTAAAATAAATAAGCCTAATGAGGACAGCACTGTAGTTATATGAAATATGTACATTCTTATTATCATTAACTATGATTAAACACTTTGAAATTATTAATTGCAAAATATTATTAACTATTTACTTAGAATATAACTACACAATGCATCTATAGATATAAGACAAAGAATCCGAAATGAGTGCGGATTGACCCAGTATCTCTATGCATTCTGAGGTCAATATACCTATATCTATGTCTGGCTTATATTAGTTATAAAAACAGTCAATTCAAGTGATTTTAAATTACTTGAGTTACCGTTTTTTTTAATATATTATTTAATAGCACTTGTGATTTGAAAGCTACAATTTGCAAGTTTCTGCAAAAGAACTCTTATGCGAGCGTTTTAGTAATAATATAAACTAAGCATCAACACGACGTTGATGCTTCGCTACACATGTTATTGGTTACAAATTGTCTGGTAAAGTCTGTTTCTATTTGTTGGCTATAGATCATGTACCTAACCTTAGATAGAATATTCAAGAGAACATAGTTTCTCGCAAAATTCTATTGTATTGGATTTTTATACATATATGTTTTATAGAAGTTTTATAGAAGAAAGTTTTATACATTTATCATTGTATAATATTTATATAATATAATGAATATGTAGCTATACATGCTGTATGTACGAAAACATATTAGGGGGCTCAGAATAGAAAAATAAGGTATTTTTTAATACCACGTAAGTGAGAAACAAGCACATAACTTTTCTGATGTTAAACAATCACTGTAGCTTATGGACGACTGCAACACCAGGAATGTCGGCGTGTTACCGATCCCGAAGACCTAAATACGCTCTTTTGAAACACACTGAACTATATAGTCTCTAGGGAAAATTTCGGCAGGAAGCTTATTTCAAAATCTGAGCGTTCGTCAGCAACGTAACATACTATATTATATATTAATTGACAAATTTAAAATAAAAACTAACTAATCTAAAACAATGAAAACTAAACAAGGAAAACTAGAGTAATCTGGAAACAATTTACTTTAAATCTTACTAAAATAATAAAAGGTTTGTACACGGGAGACATTTAAGAAAAATTAACATGAAGGATCTTAAGAAGAGCAATAGAAGCCCACTTTTAGAAATTTTGTCTATCTGTATGTTCCTTCCGGCATCATGGAAAAAATGAAATTGAATTATTTCAAAGTTGTATTTCAGAAAATCCAATTTAAAAATTACGTGTGTGTAAGTTTTACATTGATACGCTATCTAAAATTAGTTCCATTTTATTAATTATCCTGCTTCTAAAATCCACGACTAAGATGTAGCAGGCAAAAAGCTAATATCAACATATGTATATTCATATATTTAATCTACGATCATAATTACAGCTCGAAGTTCGCAGGTATTACAAATACTAAACGTTACAAATAGAGTGACTTTAATAAACTAAGGCACTTTCCTCCACGCACAACCACTATTTGGAATCAACTACTAGCAGCAGTATTTCCGAAACGATACGACATCATAACCTTCAATAAAAAAGCATATTCCTAAAAGGACGGCAGCACACCTGCAATGTCTCTGGTGTTGCAGGTGATCATGGGCGGCGGTAGTCACTCACCATTAGGTAAGCCGCATGCTCGTTTGTCCCCTGTGTTATAAAAAGAATAAATAAATAAATAAACTTAAACCAATTTTACATGTAGTCTTAGAAAAAAAAATGTATTGCGTAATATGCTCATAGTGGTAGAACTAATATCTTACAAGGCATAAAACTTATATAATTTATTTGGCAAGAGATTTTTAGCACACACACGTGCATTGTATCTACGTGTATATTTATGTATATAGTTTCTTTAAATAAAACTTTATGAAAATGTAAATGAACTAATAATTGAAACAACTATAAATCACTAGGCTGATGTCAGATTATAATACAAATAAAAATCGATAAATTGATTGAATGTTTCAATTTGTAACTAATTTTGTTTAGAAAGTGTTTTGGAATAATTTCGACGTTACCTTTTTTAAGTTCTATTTAAATAGACTATAATACATAAATGTATAAAAAATAGAACCACACTGAATTTATCAATTATATAAATGAATTGATCCTCTTTGGCTGTATCCTAATTCTCAATTTATTATTAGCACTATTTATTCATTCCTAAAATACTTTTTTTTAATACCATAAACATGGCAAACAAACATACAGCCCATCTGATAGTAAATAACCACTGTAATGCTTATGTAAGCATAACAGTAGTCGCTGATTTTCTTCTTTTAAACTTGTGATTTTTTACTTAAATTACATGCATTATAGAAAAGGAAATTTAACCTAAGTCTTAATATTAAACATACAGTAAAAATTTACAACCAAGTATATGTAGTCGCAGCATTCAAACTCTATAACAACTTCTGTATATAGCTCATAGTGTAAGTACGCGCGGAGCTACGAAACTGGCTTACTTTGTTGTTTATTTTTACTGGTCATTTTGTTCCGGCACATTGTTTAGCTATATTGCTCCTATAATTCGCTCCACTTCCTGATAATACCCTCGGTCGTTGGACCCTTGTCACAATATACATGGGAACAGTCGACCTTGAATCGCGGTACATTATAAGAATAGGTACTTTTATTTTTGTTGTTTAATTACCTGACTAATATAAAATTTTAAATCATTATTCAGTATCAAATAACATGTCATTTATATTATCAATGTATTAGGACTTTACATGGATATGCACTTTAATTTTATTATTATTCGATTTAAATTTAATTTTAATATGTAACCTGGCTCGATCAACAATAATTTCTAAATTATAGATAACCACAATTGTAACAAATAAAAGAATTCAAGCATAAAATATTTTTGACGTTCTGCAACTAATTACATTGTGATAAATAGAAACGTAAATAATAATAAAAATAATTTAATGCCTTAATGGAGCGAAATGGGCAGAATTAATCCAATAACAATAATTTGTGAAAACGTGTGTTTGTACAAAATTTTAACAAATTTAAACTTTCACCAATTACAAGTATTAACTGAATCAAGAACAATATTTCTAAAAGTGATTTATGTAAATGTATAAAGTCCTTATACATTTGGATTACCTAATCTCATAACGCACTATTATGTCCAAATACATATAATTTTAAAAATTATATTTAACTGCGCTCTCATATAAATGCCAATAATAATTATATATATGCTCCTTTAACTGATTTACAGATAATTTAATTATAATACTTAATCGAATTGGATCTCCATAGAGGACAAATAACGTAAAGTTCTTAATCCATGATAACGATAAATATTGACTAATAAGTTCATTATCATATGTATCAAATGCTATATTGAGAATTAATCTATTGATGCAATAAACATTTTGATAACGATACCAAAACAAGCCAAATTAAATACCTATTTCCATTTACTTGTTGTTTAACACTATAACTTGTAACCTATAACTTGTAAAGTTATAGGTTACAAGTAATAATGATTACGAAACTGATACATGTGGAGCGCATTATTTTCATCAACTTTCAAGTACCTTAATCGAACCATTATTATCGAACGCCTACAATACACTACATACGTCGCAATAATCTTCCAATGTTCTATTCAGTGTTTTCATCGTATAGAGACTTTTACTTATTCCTTAGTTGAAATATATATTTAAAATATCTTAAATACTATTTTAAAATGGCATGACAAACACCAATAAGTTTCGTCCCTTAAACACTTTAGGGGAGGAGAATACTTACATAAATATTTACATATACAAGTACCTATATAAATTTAATGACTTCTTAGACACATAAATGTGTCTAAAAAGTCATTAAATTTAATAGGTAAAAATGGTAAAATAAAAAAGGTAAAGTATTTCTCCTTAATTTCATTACAATGTTGTAAGTAAATGGAATATAAACAATGAACTATTTTTAACATGTTAATATAATACATAAGCTAATATGTACAATATTCATTTGGTTTAGGATATCCCAAAGATAGACTAAATATATGATACTAGCTGTTAACCGCGTCTTTGTCCGCATGACTGGGATATGTTCTCTGACCAGGATGAAATAATATTTGACTTTCTCCATCCCATATAGTACGTGTATACCAAAAATTCATTGTGATTAGTTAAGCTAAGAGGCAACAAACAAACTCACTTTCACATATACGAGGTCTGTCCGGAAAGTTCGTATAAAAGTTAGGCCAGGTAAGCGCAGGACCCCTTCCTTATGTCCCTAACAATGCTTCAGTTCTGGTCTGACCGCCGTGCGGTGCGAACTGGCTTGTCACGCCATATGAAGTTACATCTTAAAGAAACACCGTCGGCATGGAGCCCGCAACCGTTGAAGAGCAGCGCGTCGTAATCAGGATCGAAACTCGGCAAGAATGGCCGTGAAATTTTTATCTCAGAATATGGGGATGATGCTGTGAAGGAACCAACCGTCCACAAGTGGCTAAAAAGATTCAGAGAGGGCCGAGAAAGCGTTCAAGATGACCCACGTTCAGGACGTCCTTCCACTTCACATTCCGACGAAAACGTTCGAACTTGTGTTAATGGGGACCGTCGTTTAACGGTCAGACAGGTGGCTGAAGAGCTTAATTTGGGCAAAACCGTGGTCCACGAAATTCTAAGAAACGAACTTCAAATGAAAAAAATTTGCGCCAAGATCGTTCCGTGAGTTTTTGAGTAAAAATTCCATTACGGTGACCGAACAATTCGCCGGATTTGGCCCCGTGTGACTTCTTCTTGTTCCCAAAAACCAAATTGGTACATTTGGGGGACATAAATGAGATAAAAAAAGCTACGACGGGGCAGCTGAGAAACTACAAACTTTCAAGGAGCCTTCTCACATATATATTATGTAGGGGATAAAATTGATTTACCTGAATAATTGTAAAATATATATAACAAACCTTATATTATATATATATATAACTTATAATATATTTATAACGCCATGTTTAAAGTGTGTGAAGGTAAACGGCCCGTAACTAAGTTGGCAATATAGGTATAAATAAAGTTATAACGAAATCTTCATGCTTGCATTTGAAATGCATTTGATATTTACAGTGTTACATCGTATAAATGTTTAAAATAATTATGCTAATTATTGTTCTTGCTTCCGTTTATCTAGCCATATATATTTATAGATAACAGCTGCTAAAATACCACCGAATAAAGGCCCCACCCAGTACACCCAATGGCCGTCCCAATTATTATTCCAAACTGCAGGTCCCAATGTTCTAGCTGGATTCATACTAGCTCCGGTTAGAGGGCCACCAGCTACAGATAATCCAACTATGGTCAAACCAAACTTCAATGGGCTGGAGTCTTGTTTATGTTCATTTGTTGGATCCCACACACCACAGTTTATAAATGAAAGTGCTGCCGTCAAGACCACCTCAATAGCAAACCCTTGGATCTCGTTAATGTTTCTGTGCAGCTGTGTTAAACATATTCCTTCGGCTACCATATCGACAGGGGAAACAAGAAGTAGGAATCCATAGCCTAAAATTGCACCAGCACATTCAACGATTATAAAAGCTATGCCAAGTGATAACGTTATTTTACCCCATATGACAGCAGTAATTGTAACGAAAGGATTCATATATGCACCAGATATGTGACCAAATATCTGTATATTAAACATGACTGCTAAACCGAAACCTAATGGTGCATATAGAGCAGGATTCTGTGATAATCCCTCTATAGGTATACATGACATGCATCCAAATATTATCAATAGCGTTGTAGCCAAGAACTCGGCTAAGATTCCCTTCCATTGTATTGCACACCAAGTTGATATCGATTTGGAGACTGAATTAGGTTTAATAGGTTTACTCTCGATTACACCGATGACGATTGATTGAGTGTTTGGTGGCACCGTCATATTAATCGATTGTGCGTCACGTATTATCGAATTACGAGCATTTGGAGCTATAAAATTCAAATCACGCACTGTTCACCGAACCGAATAACGGATATTATCAGCTGATGATTCACATTCACTTTGTAACTAACTGGTCTTTACGTTTAACTGTAATAATCAACATTTGCTAGAACTGATCACACACGACTGTCTCGCGGCCAGCACACGGTACGAGTAATAAATAGTTATGCGAATGTAACCAACAGCTGATGAATGATATGCAGTATTAAACAAAAGTATTACCGTTATCAATGATTTGAGAAAATAACGTGAACACATTGTGCTTATTTTATGGGAGCCTTCTGTATAAGTATATTTTAATATAAAAAATAATAAAATTAAAATAAAATCAATTTGAATAGTGAATGAATGCGATACATTCACTACATCATCGTATTCGTGATTCCGTTCCAATTTATTATTGTTTTTATCATACTTTATAAAGTAATATACAAACATATTTTTCGAGCTTTTACCGTTAAAACAAAATAACAGATTTTGAAACACAGTTATGATAACTTTATTTAATTGTGAAGGCAAATTTTGGGATTGGAAAGTTAAAAAGTAATTACATAATAATTGATTGCGTTACTGAGTAAAAAACATTCAAATATTATTATAAAATTTCACTTTTATAATATTAGTAAAGTCTTAGAGAACAGTTTTAATTTTTCAGTAAGCTATATTTTATGGTCAACAAATTGAGTAATCGTTATTCTATATACAACAAAATATATTTAAATGTGTAACAATATAGTAGGCGTATTATACATATTAATTTAAAAAATATATAATTATTTAATTAAGTATTACTTTATTATTATAATACAATATCTATTATATACATATATCAAATACCTTAGTATCTGATATATGTAGTAAATGAAATGCTTTATAAGTTATTCAATATTGATATTTTATTACCTATTGTTCCTAAACAACCTTAAAGAAACATACTTTGTTTCTTTCTTATCATATTGTAAATGTGTAAATTTTATAATAGTTATGAATGCTCACCGTTTATGATCTCTCTGCATATCAGAAGAAAAAGATAATATAATTATATAAACGTTTTATTTGTGTTATAAAACTTATAAAAACACAAATAAGGTATTTAGGTAAATTTCCGCTTACCAACTTACCCTGCAATAAGCAGATAATTGTATTTATTTATCAACCCATATAAAACACTAGCCATGCAAACAAAATTTTATTTTGTGATGGTAATGGTAACTCCGCCTGCGTTAACAATATACGCTAACGGGGCACCAATGAGGGATGATAAGTGAGAATGAAAGCAGGTCGGTAAGCCTATCGGGGTGAATGCATCTGGAATTCAGCATGATCGTTTCTAGAAGGGACCACAGGAAGGTCGATCTGATAGGGTATATTGCTAGCAATAGGACTAGTAGTCCGCATTACTAAGAATCTCTTTCCCCCTTGTTTTTCTATATTAGGTATATAAAACCAGAATCAATCAATCAATCAATTAATTGATAATTAATATTATAATAATTAATCAAATCAATTAACATATTCATTCGCTTTATTCCATTAGTTTTTTAAAAATGTTTTTCGTTCCGATATATACATTAAATAAATAGTTTTCTATGTAACAACAAGTAAGTATAATACTGGTTTCAACGCATCGTTGATTTCAAATCGACGTCGATTAAAGCAAAATATATGTAGTATGAATATAAAGCTTCTCTCATTATTTAGTTTATTTCATAGAAACAAACACCATCGCTATCCACCATAAATTTTATAGAAAGTTAATTTATACTTTTATATAAAGGATATAAAAAACTGATTTTGAAACAGTATTACTATATCGATAACATGACCGCAGGGTTTGTATGAAATTGTATGGAAAGATTAAAACATTGTGTTTTAAAAAAAGAAAACATTTGATTTATTGATTGTAATAGAAAAATAAAAAAAAATACTGGCGAATAGCATTGCCTTTATTTTATTTATAAAAGAATCTACCTATCTACCCTTGCGAAACTAGACCGGATCGCTAGTTTATTAATCCATACGTCATATGTATATATATTCCTATACATATAAAATTGTATGTATATGTATTTATGTATATATTTAGATATATACCTATATGGATTTAAGTATGTATCAATAAGGTAAAATGTACATTTATATATTCACATTATTGTACGTATTATATCTCTATATGTATTAAGTAAACGAACAGAATTTCGTGCCTCCGGTCAAATTATTTATAATTACTTTATCATTCAATGGTTGCCTGGAAGAGATCGCTTTTAACGATAAGACCGCACATTGTTTTCTCAGAGTAATCTTTTCTTCTAATTGTTCGTATTTACCATAAGTTAACTACTGTGTAGTTTTTTGTAAGAAACAATAAAAAATAGCTAAATATTTTTGGGAATATTGTCGTTATCACTTTATTTAAACTACTTGAAAGTGACCTTATAGCTATTACCATATTTACAAGGTGAAAATCGGTAACACATCAAGAAAATTCATGGTCAAGAAAAAGAAGTTTGAATACTTATACGAGTAACTGTAATTCGTTGGATATTTAATTAATTTTAATTGTGATATAATATTGATGGTAATTGATATTCCCTCCGAGCGTCGTTCGGCATTCGCATAACTGAAGGTCGTGGCTTCCAACTGGTGTCACATCATTATGAGGACGTTTCTCCATTTGCTCCTGTCTCGTTTGTTGTATGTCATTATAAATAAATATTAAATTTGATGATGATAATAATACTTAATACGCATATATGTATTATGTTGAAATCCGTTTCAACCGGAAGAGTCCGGAGAAGAGGAAAAAGAGAGAAACAAACAGGCAACAAACGTAAAGTATTAATTAATTATTACTTAATATTGCACAAACCCAATTAAAAAATATAGGTACGTATCCAAACCATAGATATTAAAATCGTATTCCAATTTAATAATGAATATGATGTTCATATCTATAGACAACAGTTACCACTTCCTATCAGGTGGACCAATAGCTTGTTTACCATTCTAAGTATCATAAAAAAAAAACTACTTATTAAACTCTTAAATGGATAAAGTATCTACTACCGTACTTTTCTAAATACTAGTATACTTATTAATTAATTATTTTTAATGGGTGAGAGATTGGCAGCAGCGTCCCTCTTAAAACATCACCAATCGGTCGCCTATCAAATGTAACAAGTACTGGCAAAACCCTCAAGTGGAAGGTCTATGTTCAACAGTGAACCGTTAAGGACTAGTATCATGATGATAATGATGGTGATATATTTATTATAGATCTATATAAAAAAAATATAGACTAGATATTCACTGCGTTTTTATGCTTAGTTAAGATATAACCAACCCGTGCCACATTTAGATCCTTTTAACCATTTATGTAACTGAGTAATAAACTTCCAAACATCTTTTTAAATATTATTAGTGGTGAGATTAAAGTAAAATTTTAATTTTATGTCTATTTAAATTCCGGAATATCATCTTCAGATTATTAATTTACTAGCTCTTAATCGCCACTTCGTCCACGTAACCAAGATATAATTATTGACCAGGATAAAGCCTATATCTTCCTCCATCGCATTTAGTACGTGTATACCAAATTTCATAATGATTGATTAAGCTGTTAAGTTACAATAAGGTAACAAACAAACAATCCCATGTATAATATTATAGTAATGATGTGGTTGGTCTCATTTGTGTTAAAGAATATTTATCTTAATTAAGGTCAACGCTCAGTACTAAGGACTAATGAGATGAAAGAGAGAAATGCCACTTTACAGTTATATATGTATTAAAATTATTCGGAATACTCTACAGGAATGCTATATCAAATATGAGATCATATATATTTGATATTATAATCGAGTCACCCTAATTTACAATTCACATCTAAAACAAGATTCTATCTAGAAACTTATTTATGATATTAACTTTACAACAAATTTAGCGATGCATATTTATAATACACATTATACATATGAAGTCATGTTATATGATAGCTATAATAATAATCTACAATATTTCAAATGTTACTATAACAATCTTTGTTGTTATTGCTTTTAACAAATGACAAAATTGCCTAACACTTGAGCTCAATGTGCGTTGATTAGTAAATTCTCCATACGTGGTTAAGAAATCTTACTAACGTGATTGTGTAAGGATATCATTGACTAAACCTGTTTTAAAGGTGACTACCAAAGATTCTACTTTTATACTACTTACATAAAAATTACTTATTTTAAACTAAAACAAATGGTAACGAATGAAACATTTATTTTAAAACACTTTAGACCCGGATTCTACACAGCATAATACGAGTATATCATTATAGTTACCGTAAGATTGGTAAGATAGAAACATTGTAATGGAAATATCCTATTCTGGCCATAGTAAATATTTCATAGGAAATTTAACTACTTGTCGCTCAAGTGTTATTAGCTATAATAATAATAAAGAGTCTATCTCTTGATGAAAATCTGCCACTACTTACTTGACGTTAAATCGTTAAAAAAAAAACTCCGCTTTTAACACTACATATTAAATTTCAATTAATAAATAAATTACGTCTCATTTTGTTGCCTATTACAAAAAAAAATGTCTAGGAAACCACTGATGACTTACGAAACCGAATTATGCATAGTGCTAGTCGTATCTAAAATCTACATACTCCTCAGCGTGCTATAGTGAATCCGAAGTTGAGGTATCCACAGAGAACCGGAAGGATCAATATATAATGTAAATCCGTCCATTGCTGTACACTCAAACGTAAAACGACTGTTATGATTTTCAGAATTGCAAAATTTATATTCCTATTAATATTATAAATGTGAAAGTTTGTAAAAAAAATTTTGGAGATGTGTTTATTACTTAATCCCGCCTAAACCGGTTGAATATATCTGAATAAAATTAAGTACACGTTCAGACCATATTCTAATTTAATATATGGGATACTTTGTATACGTAGACAGAACCGCGGAAAACGTCTAGTAATTAATTAATTTATTTATTTAGATCATCAACCGAATAAGCTTTAAATAGTAATAAATTAATAGGTAAATAAGTATTAATTCATCTTCAAGATCTGTATATAGATATATACTGTCTATAAGCTCTCTATGTCTATCGTCACACGTCATTCTTAACAGTTTGCTAAGACATTCGGA